TCGTGGAATTGATCGGCCTCAAGTAATCCAAGAAAGAATTGAGTTCACGTAGTTCCATCTGGAATCGAACTTCGGGTTGTTTTCAACAATTTAAGGGGGTGTACTGCTTCTTTGGGGCTGTTTTTCAACAATTTAAGGGGGTGTGGACCAACTGAGCTAGGGTAGTCGGCGGTTCTTTTCTTTGCGGCTGGCCTGCGTTGGATTCTTAGGGTTTGTGCGGGTATTATCTTTGGAGCTGTGTTGCCTGGGAATGTGTGGTGAGCAATTGTGGATGACAGGTTGGGAGTGAGCCAAATGGAGAGGGGGGTAAGGAGAGGGAGGAATCTTGTGAACTACTTTATAGTTAGGTTTATGGATAGAGAGGAGTGGTTGTGGTTTATGGATGGAGATAGAGTTGTGATTGTGTGTTTTTTTTTTTCGTTTTTTTCTTTTTTCAGGGAGATAGAGTTGCGATTGTGTGTTCCGTTGGATTAGGATCTGGAGATCCGTTGACGCATATGACTTGAGCCGCTGATTTCCTCGATCTCATCTCATCTCGTCGTGATAGGTTTTGCACCGACTCCATTGATTGCCTCTGGTGATTACTGGATTGTTGAAATACGTGGTTGATTGGTTTGATTGATTGGTTGTTGTAGTGCTTGACTGGCCAGCATCGTTGGTTGATTGCTTGCGCGTTGATTGGTTTATGGATTGGTTGTATCAGCGATTGTGCGTCGTTGACTCGTTGGTTGATTGGTCGATCCGTCGACTTGTTGATTGGTCGGGTGATCCGTTTGATTAGACCGGTGACCTGTTGATTGATCGGATGATTCGTTGATTGGTTCTTGGATGCGGATTATGAGACTGCTGTTTTGGTTGTTTGCTTGCGTAAATTGATTGGTTGTTTCCGTGATTGTGCGTGGTTGAGTCGTTGATTGGTCGGTCGATCCGGTTGATTGGACGGGTGACCCGTTGATTGGTCGGGCGATCCGTCGTTGATTGGTTCTCGGATGCTGAGGACGAGACTGCTGTTTTGGTTGTTTGCCTGCGTCTACTTACTGGTTTATTTATTGATTGGTTGTTTTGGTGATTGATTGTGCGTGGTTGAGTCGTTGATTGGTCGGTCGATCCGGTTGATTGGACGGTGACCCATTCATTGCATGGGATGATCTGTTGATCGGTTGTTGATCGGTTGTCGGATGCTGAAGATACAGGACTGTAGAAGTTTTGATAATATCTGAAGAGGTTTGATATGGTGGTGCTGTCTGACCGTCATCACTACAGGGGGAGCGCTTTTTCATTCCTGCCTTTTGTATAGAAAGAAACGTTGTCTTTCGTGTGACTTTCGACAGGAGTTGTTTCTTTCTTTAATTGTTTTTTTTTTTCGTATCATTTCGCTCTCGGCAGCAGGAGGGGTGATTTTTAAACCACCAGTACCTCGCCCAGCTACCAAGTCCGAGGCTCGGACTACCGGTAGCCCGATCATTCCCGAGCCTCGGACTTTATTGCCGAGCCTCGGAAAACCGGTAGTACATCAAAGAAAAAAAAAAAGACAAAAAAAAACATACCACTTTCTGCAAGAAAAAAA